ACCCCCCATAAACCCTCTCTGTTCTCACGTGAGCACGATGTCCACGAGCTGCAACAGCTTCGCAAAGCACTCTCGAAGGGTGCCGATGCCGCTCTCGTCTGCGAAGTCCGTCAACGCCGCGATGTCCAGGTTCACGTTGTGGATTCCAAGCACGTTCACGGTTCTCACCTATAACGGAACGACCGGTGGAACACAATAAATTGAACAACGCGCCATCCATGAAAACAGTACAAAGGGGCCTCCGGCAAAACGACCCATGGGGGAACAACAAGTTTAACAACGTGGTCGTCCATGAAAACCGTACCGTACAAACAGCCTAAAAAAAAATGACCCGCGGAACAAGAAAAAGCGAGCAAACGTGCAATCCATGGAACACCGTACAAATGGGGGGAGGTTTAGACCTGTGTGCACCCTGGGGGGGCAAAAACACATTGAGAGAGTTACTACCTCGTGCTTGTAAACGAACGCGAGACGATCTGCGAGAGTGAAAGAATGCATACTGTGAGGAGTTCGTTGCGGCGAGATCAGTCAGCCCGAAAGGCAAAAAAAGAAAACAAAACAAAACAGCTTTCTCTCTCTCTCTCTCTGTCTCTCTCTGTCTCTCTCGATCCCTGTCCCTCTCACTCTCTCTGGCTGCTCGCTGTTCTAGTGCTCTAATGGCCCCAGCAGAACAAATCAACACGGGACGATGACGATGATGACGGCGGAATTTATGAAATGAAACAACACGAAACCGTCATCATTATCATCATCATCATCATCATCGTGATCATCTTTGGCGATGCATTCACGCTCACGTCGGCGCCGGTGATGTGCTCCAGGATCGCGTTGCAGACGTGCGTCATGCACGTGAAGTGGACCGCCTCCCGGATGCTCGCCGGCAGGGTCGCCAGGTTCATGAACGTAACCTGTTTGTCGGACGCGGGGGGGGGGGGGCAGGGGACAGGGGACAAGGGGGGGGCGTACTCTCATGTTTTGCTTGCCTTGGCGGCTAGACCATTGACCAAGAGTCCCAAAGAGGGGGGAGGCACTTATCATCCACCATCGCCGTATTCTTGGGTGCCACCGACGGTCACATGCCCAACATCAGCCACGGGGTGTGTGGGTGGAGAGCGAATCGTGTTTTTGCACGGATAGAGCCAAGAGAGCAACAGATCTCCCCACCAGGGGATTAACCCAATGCGGTCTTGTGCGAACGCTAAATTTAGCCAAGGGAACGCTGCTGTGTGTCGTCCCTGGGTTTGTTAACGAAGCCACTTCACCATCACAAGGAACACACTTCTGAAGGGTAACTCCCGTGTCCGGCCCCGGACTCTTTCTATTTAATTGCGCGTGCGTTAGGTATTGCACGCAACCAAAATCAGGGCCCACACTCTGCGTGCCCCCCCCCCCCCCTCCCCGCTCAGGCGTTTCACTACCTCTGCGGGAGGGCAACTCCAGGTCGGTCCTACGTACATCTTTCCGAATAGTTTTCTGTGGGGATGTGCATCTGCCTGAGGCTCAGCCCTATCATGACCGCAAAATCTCAGAGTCAAACCAACAACATTTCGTGTACAGCGGCGGCAGCAACAGCAGCAAAAACAAGCATGCTAGCTAGCCCCGGCCAACGGTTCCAAAATAAGAATGGCACGACATCCAACAAAAAAAAAACACGTGTAAGACGCACCCTGAGATAGTTGATGAGGTCGTCGGCGTAGGAGTGCGCCTGCCTTCGCATCGACGTCGGCTCCATATTCACGAACTCCATGCCGGCCAGCAAGTCGTCCGCCTTGCTGCGGACCAGCTCGAAGATCAGGTCGCGCGAGCGATCGCTGATGTCTTCCAACACCTGTACATGCATTACACACCACGTAGGTCGTTGTTGTTGTTGTTGTTGTGTTGTTTCGTTGTGATTGAAAGACCGCATAGAATGGCGTGGCATCGCGCACCGCGTTTTGCGTCGCACCTCACATCGCAATTCGCGAGGGTGACTTTTGGCGTTCACGGAGGTGAGCGTCTCAGCTGGTGCCACGAGTCAACAATGCTAATAGCAAGAGAGAAGAACGAACTGCTCAACCATTGTACAGCAACAAGGGTGTGCTACTGCTGTTGCCGCACACGAGTCTCACAGAACCTTTCTTGAACCTTCTTCACCAAGGGAGAGTGGTGTTTGGACAGTAGGACATCCACGTGGGAGGTATGGAGGGGGGGGGGGGGCGCCCTATGTCGTAAGGCTTCTGATCGCGCCTCCTCTTCGAGACTGAGCATCATTTCCTCCGACATACTGGGCTCGCACCATGTGCGGGCGGGTGGGTGCACAAAAAAAAAACATCTCCAAACAGCGGCACACAAAAAAAAAAAAAACAAAAATCGGTCAAGACAAAGCAGCAGCAGCAGCCCTCATAAAACCTTATATCTTCGGCATCGGCTCTCTCCTCGCCTTTTACACACCAACGCGCAGACCGCCCCCCCCCCCCAACACCACACCAAACCACGCCACACAAAAAAACTGCTGCAGTCGAGGAGGGGAAAAGTCTAGAGAACACAGCATCGGGTCATCACGACGGACAGCGGCGCACGTTTTCGACGCACTCTCGAGGAGCGGAACAAAGCATGATCGCACAAAAGCCGTCCGTCCATCCGTCCGAACATTCGCGACATTCTCTCGCCTCAACCCCTCAACACACGGCTAACAGCGACTATGTGAGGCGGGGGTGGGGGGGGGGGATGGGGGGAGGGGTCCGGTACATGTGCGCTCGCGAACAAGTGAGAGCCCTGAGATAAGATCATGTAATTTTGGTAATCATCGGGCTGCCATATTTGCCTTGCCTTCCGTTGAAACACAAAAGAAGCCGCATCCCTGCATGTACATGCATGCACAGATACTATGCAGAAGACTGTTGTCAGCCTTCACAATGAAGAACCCCCCGTGCCATTCTCCAAAAACTCCACAAGGCAAGACGGTTGATCGTTTTCACCGAACAGCAAACAACGATGCGAAGCAGATCTATTCTAGACAAGCGGCAACACTTCTCAACATGTCGGATCGATCATTCGCGACGTCGTGCGCAAAAAAAAAAAAAAACGTTCGCCCACAAAGTAAACACACTCAAGAAAAAGCACTGTACAAAAATTCGTCCAAAAACGAAAAAAAAATAAGCCCACGAACACGGTACAAATACAGTTAATCTCCGTTTTATGGTGTGTTTCTGTGCTTAATTTTTCAGAAAAATTTCACGATCCCTCTCTCGGGGCACAGTTTCGTTTTCGTGGACGCAAGAAGAAGCATGCGAGCGGTCATGTCTGAACCAAGGGGGGCGTTCAAAACACCCTGCCCCGGGGCGTTGGTTGGCTGGGTCATGCCCTGCCCTGATCGGCGCATCTCGACAAGTGGTGGGGAAAAAGGTCGACGGCCACGCTACTTCACCCACGCACGCCGATATCGTAGGGCAATGAGACGGAAAACGACTCCACGAAGTGCACAACCATATCCCCAGAATCCTGACAAAAGCCCACACGTGCACACGGTTTTGGTACATTCTTGGTTCCCGCCAAAAACTGCCGTATTTCCATTTAGCCAAGCCAAACCAAGCCCGTCGATGCTTGCGAAGGACAACATACATACACAAAACATGACACGACGAGAGAGTTCGTTTCTCCGTACAACTGCTGTACTGTACTGTACTGTACCTTTCCCGCGGTGCCTATCATCTCCTTTCCGGTCCCGTCCGCCTTCACTCCCTTGCCCTTCCACGCGAAGTCGGCGAACTGTATTCCCACGAGAACGTCTCCGAGGGCAGAAGCCAAGAACAGGGGGAGCTTCGCCAGGTACTGTCGAATGCACGGGCGCACGCAACAAAAAAAAAAGGGGGGGGGGGTAAAACATCTGCCCGTTAAAAACGCGCAATGGCGGAACGCAAAGCAAAATAAAAGCGACAAATATAAATTACACACAAAACCCCGCGGACACCTCGTATGAAATGCGTCTAGTCTTCTTCGTTCGGTCGATGGCGGCGGCAAGTGCGGACCATCTCCTTGTGTCCGCGCCCGTTTTTGTTCCGTCGTCGGGCATCGGAAGAGAACACCCGCACCCCCCACCAAAACAGCAGTCAACACGTGGATTCGAAGCGCTGTCCAACAACGAAATCGAGTGTGCGGCCACCCGCTACATTTTCGTTCACTCACTCAAAAAAGTGTTGCGTTGTATGCATAGCTACGTAGCATCTGGGTGCCCGTGGTCTGCACGACGGCCCTGTTGACGGAGTTCTGGCTCGTCTCGAAACCGGACGCGAATGCCAAAACAAGAGACCAGACCAGACCAGACCAAACCAGACCCCGCCCACACTACCTCAGGCGAAATAACAGCATAGAACTACGCCATTATTGACACCGCCTCCCACTTCTCTCAGCCACCCGCCCCCCGCCCCAATCTTCCCTCACCGCGCTGTTGACCGAGATCTGGCTGGCCTTGAGGATGTGCATGTCTGCCTCGGCGTCGCGAAGCTGCTCCACCATCAGGGTCTGCACCACCAAGGTGCCCCTGTGGACGGACTTGAACACCAGCGAGCTGGCGTTGGGCACGTCCAGGTTGGCCAGGAAGGTCACGACAAGGGCCGACATCTATGTCCTCGGGAGGGCGCGTGCACGGGCGGGAAGTGGGGGGGGGGGGGGGGGGGGGGGGTGGT